TGAGCTCACAGCTGAGCTCACCATATCAAAGAGTACCAACACCACCACCCAATCCGAAGCCAGCAGCTTCTTGATCCTAAAGTCCACAAGTTCATGCCTACTTCTCAAAGGATTCAGCAGTGAGAAGGTAAGTTTTTGCACTCTTATCATGGGGTGGGCGTCGTGGGGAGAAAGGAAGATAATGAGGCTCGGAGTCGAGGGTAGGGGGTACCTTTCAGAGGTCAACCCATTGTCCCAGCTGTCCCTCCTTGCCTGGTGAAATTAGAAGCCCCCTACCCTCTCCAGAATCTGGTAGGCAGGTCACCATGGTTTATCTTTCACCTGTGGGGGAGATGGTTGATCAGGAAAGTGGTGAACTGAGGCTCTAAACTGGCAGTAATTGACCAGTTAGGGGTCTTAGTTGGTGACAGGCAAGAACATTGCCCATAGACCTTCTTGCCCAAAACTTAATTAGTGAGATATGAGAAGTGGATGGGTTTCTCTCTGGAGCCAACTGATGCAATTATTTCACATTCTCACCACTTCCAAGGAGGGGAAAGTAGTGCCTCCCGTCGTTTCCAGTTTTATTTATGAACCAACTTCGCTACTTGAGGTGGTAGATTTTATTTGCATCAGGAAGACAGAAAATTATTACGACTGAGTTTGACACTCCTGCAGTTATAAAAATATATATATCTGGCAGAATTCCTACTGCTGCCTACTATCCATGCCCTTGCTGTAGCTGTCACCAGTCTCTCAAAATGAGGTGAATATCTCCTAGGCTTCATGTTTTATGTGTCCTTGGGTGATGCAGCATCAAAAAGACAATTATCTTGAGGAAAGGGGTTGCTCAATCCAGGCTTTCTCCTGCTACTTTTGTTGTTGCTCTGCAGCAGAGTTAATGTGGTCAGTTTACAACAGTGTTGGATCTTGCTGAATGAGTACCACCATGAGGCCCAGGTGGGAGCACATTCCTTACACGTATTGATGTCAATTTGTCACCTTTTCAATCAGACTTTCATAACATCCATGTATTTTCTGTCCTTCTTGAGATTGCGTGCCAGCCATGAATCACAAAGAAGGACCTGTTTCTGAAGCTGATTATTTGATATGTGGATGCAGTGTCCAGACCAGCAGAGTGGACTTCACAAGATCAAGGTTGTGATACTAGAGGTAAGAACGTCAGAATTTTGTTCATCTGTCTAACCGATAACAATGCTACATGAAGACGTGGTCATGCTTGACTACATGGCTTCATCTCAAATATTCAACTAGCACTCACTATCTAGGCTGTTTCATGATGAAAACCAGTTAAGCAGGACACTGAAAGGGTGCCATTGCTGACTCAACATGATTCAGTGTATTTGGATGGGAAGAGGTAAAAGGAGAAAAGCTTGAAGCAAAAAAAAATGAGAATAAATGCCATTAACTAATGAGAGCATTCCCTTTGATCATCAGTATTACAAGACATATTTAAGATGTATTTGCTGGATCACAATGTTTCAAAAAAGTAGGACTATATATTAGCATTATACACAATCTGAGAATTTTAATATTTTGTTATTCGAAATATTATTATAGAATTTTCCTCATTTCTCAATATATATGAGACAAAGTGTAATATCTTGACAGAAACAAAATTGAACTATCCACTTACTATTTAGAAGAATAATCAACACCAAGATTATAATGTGTATAGAACTTTTATGCTAAGGATTCACTTTGCCAACATTCTCAGGCCAAATATTTTATGCCCAATAAAGTGCCTCCAAATCTCATTAAGCCATAAATCACAAACAGAATTGCTACCATTCCATGCTCTGGATCCAGGCAGCAGACACTGTAAACTCTTCCAGTTCATTTCCTTTAAAAGATGGCAAATCAAGTAAATGCTGAAAGCCACCGAGCACCAGAAGTCTCTACGGACAATTAGTGAAGAATTAACAGCAACATTTGTAACTCTAAATAGGACAATATACAAATTATTGTCATCAACTTTGTTGTAAAAGATGTAGTATACGCGCATGTTATTTCTGTCTGCAAAGAACAGGACCTATGCATTAATATATGTAGCTTCAACTGCACACAGGTGCACCACACCGTTAGCTAGACTGACAATCCTGAATTGGTTGTCAGTGTAATTCTTCATGCACACAGGATTATCCAGCAAATCACAGAACTGTATCTAATGTTCGACACCATTTCAAATTTTGAAAGTGTAGGCTTGATGGCAGTGCAGTGTCCAACAGTACATGTGATTCTGTGACTTGCTCGGTAACCTTGTGGACAGAAAAGAATGGCAGTGACAACAAATTTGGATTGTCTGTTGGGCTTGCAGAGTGATGCACAATTGTGGGCTGGAAACTATAAATATGAATAAACAGGGCCCTGTATTTTGCAGGCAGGATCCAGATGTGGAACTCACAATCCCATTTAAAATAGATCTAATTTTTGCCAGCAAAATTAGATTAGCCTAAGGGCAAGTCAACCCAGCAGTGGGAGCCTCAAACAGACATTAGGCCCATTACATCTGTAAACAAAAGAGCTAAAGCCTGTTTTAGGCACTGCACAACAACTCTTTGGAGTTTATCGGATGGGTGAGAAACATTCATTTCATAATAAACTTTCATTTACTGCCTGACATTTTGGAGGCCCAAGCAATTATTAACTGCTTGCTAGTCAGTAATTTAACTACAATAATAGCTCTTTAAATGAAAAAAATCTTTTCCTGGAATCCCTTTTATTCAGCTTACTTTGAGTTTTAAGGTTGTGTCCTCTTATTTCACATTTAACCTACTGAAGGAGGGACTAGTGCTCTAACTACCTTATCCTCCATTATTTTAAATATCCAAAATAACCTATGAATGAATCTGTCGTAAAAAATGCGATAAATGGATACTTTGGTAAAAATGATCTGATTGGGTGTAGTCAGTATAGATTTTTGAATGAAAAATTCTGTTTGACAAACATGTTGGAGTGTTTTGAGGAATTACTAACAAAATTGATAAAGAGGAGTTAATGGATGTTGTGTATTTGGAATTTAGGAGGCTTTTGATAAAGTCTCCATGCGAGGTTGGAGAACAAAATTAAAGCATGTGGTATAGAAGGCGATATATTGGCATGGATTAAAATTTAGCTGACAGTTAGACAACAGAATAGGAATAAATGGGTCATTCTCACGTTGGCTAACTGCACCTTAAGAATCAGTTCTTGGGCCTCAGCTGTTCACAATATATATCAATAATTTGGATTCAGGGACCAAATGCAATATTTCCAGATGATACAAAGTTAAAAAGGAATGTGTGTTGTAAGGAAGATGTAAAACATTTCCAGGAGGATTTGGACAGGCTTACTGATTGGCCAAGAATACGACAGATAGAACATAATGTGGAAAAATGTGAGGTTATCCACTTTGGTAGGAAGAACAGATGTGTTGTGTATTTATTAACTTGTGAGAGGTTGGAAAGAATAGACGTGTAAAGAATCTTGGCTGTCCTCATCAATAAGTCACTGAAGGCTAACATGCAGGTACAGCAAGCTATACTTAGGAAAGCTCATGGAATGTTAGCCTTGTCGTAAGAGGATTTGTGTACAGGAGTAGTGATTACGTTTGCTTCAATTGCACAGACACTCCTGGAGTATTGTGTGCAGTTTTGGGCTTCTTATCTCAGGAAAGACAAGATTTTCAAACAGGAAGTGCAACAAAGGTTGACCTTGTTGCCAGGATGCTCACATTTGTTCCCAGGATGGCAGAACTGTCCAATGAAGAGAGATTGAGCAATCTGGGCCTAGATTCTGTAGTATTTAGAAGAATGAGTGGTGATCTCACTGAAACCCATAAAATAAGGATTAGACAGGGTAGATGTGGCTAAGATATTTCCCCTGGTTTAGGAGCCTAGAACCAGGGGGCATGACATAAAAATAAGAGAGATGCCATTTAGAACTGAGAACAGGATAAAATTCTTTACATAGAGGGTGGTGTATCTTTGGAGTTCTTTACCAGAGAGCGCTGTGGAAGCTCAGTATTTGAGACCAATAAAAGTGGGCATTGATCATTTTTTATTATGATCGATGGTGTAAAATGTTATGGGAATGGGATGGGTAAAAGGTATCAAAATTAAACCCAACTTCACCTGGTTCTCACGTGATTTTCCAATTGTGTAGATAAGACTGTTAAAACAAATGAAGCATTCATGTGTTTACTATTGCACACTTTTAGGAATCTGATTTATTTGATGAGTGCTTCTGTGCTGGGTGCTTTGGCAACTAATTGCAATGAAGTGATATGTCCTACAGGTCACCTTCCAGCTTTAACAAACATGGTTCATATAATTTTATAAAATACCTTTTTTGTGAATTATTGTCATATATAAAATGCACTGAACTATAGTCTGACGGTTTTGCGCTTTAATTCCAATGATCACAATCAATCAAATTTAAAGAGATAAACTGTCGTTCAGACCATTGATAAATGTACATTCAGAACACGTTCTGGGTTGTTTCTAATTATCTCTGTACCGTGTGACTCTCATCTAGTGACAAGCTGTCATTTAAGCGTACAGTTCTCATACTCAGTGATTCATGTGGCAGAAATTCATGCATTGAATAGGGTGGAAATGATATTCTATAATAAACTCATTTCCGAATGAGTACTTCACTGTACATGTGAATATTTTATGCAGGCTGACATGCATTTTGATTTTTATCGTAGTGATCAACGTGTCGCCTAGTCTACCCTTTACAATTGATTTTCTGTCCACATACCCTCAATATTGGCATTCAGTCCTTAAATAAGAAGCATACAAACTTTCACTTTGGGAATTATAATATCCTTTATGCATGTCATAACTTATTTAAGAATTTTTACCCTAAAATAGGTAAAAAAACAAAACCTAAAAAATAATTTTACAAAATATATCAGTAGAATTTTGTAGAATTTGCCCTAAAATTCTGGAAGAGAGAAATCAAGGGACAAGCTACAATTTTTGTTTAATTTATTGCTCAAATTTCATGTTACTTACCTAACGTCTCTGTATATGAAGCTCTCCATCCTCCAATGGGACAATAGCTGTTTATTTTAAACACAAGGAATATCGAGTTGTTGGTGCTCCTTAAAACAGGTGGCATTTTTGCACCACAGAACTGACCTAATAGTGGTGCAAGGGAGTTTGGACCATCATAGACAGCCACATAGGTCAAGGTGCATGCTGATGAGGTGTCAATGTCAAATTCATTGAATCTAAAAAGGAAAATAATTAGATTACCACACCATTTAAGTACGATTCTCACTATATTTTACAATTACCGTTTGACAGCTAGCTTGGCTAAAATTTTAAAATGCCTTACTCATGTTTGTCACAATAATCCTGAAATTGTTTCATGGGATACCAAAATGCAAATTTACTGATTTTAAATGGCTTCATGCTTACATTGGAGGCACTGAAGACAATCCACTGGGTTGCTACCAGATACAGAAAGACTATCTTATGAGGAGAGGTTGAATAGGTTGAGCCTGTGCTCATTGAAGTATAGAAGAAATGGGAGGTAGCCTTATTGAAACATACAAGATTCTCAGGAGACTTGACAGGGTAGATCTGGAAAGATTGTTAACTCTTGTGGGTACAGTCCAAGACCAGATGGCATAATCTCAGAATAAAGGGTCACCATCTTAAGACAAAGATGAAGACAAATTCCTTCTCTGAGAGGGCAGTGAATCTGTGGAATTCTTCACCACAGAGGGCTGTTGAGACTGAATTTTTAAGTATATTCAAGGCTGAAATAAAATTTTAATTAGTAAGGGAGGAAAAGGGAGGAAAGTGAAGTTGAGGACCATCAGATTAGCCATGATCTCATTGAATGGCAGAGTATATTCACTGGCTGAATGGCCTGCTTCTGCTCCTATGTCTTAAAGTCTTATGCCTCTGCCAAAAAAAATGAAAACAAGCCTCAGACATTATTAAACATTTGCATACTACCTTCAGTGCTATGAACTAACGTAAAAGCAAAATGCTGAAGATGCTGAAGATTTGAAAACAAAGTGTTGTAAAAATCCAGTAGATCTACCCCTCTTCAGGTCTGCAGAAGAATCACATTGAACTTGAAACATTACTGCTCCACAGATGCTGTCAAGATCCAGCATTTTCTACTTTAGTTCAGTTTTTTGAATCTACTTACATAATTTAGAATTCCAAATTTCAAAACCATTCTAGCTGTTCTTCATAGTGTTTTTTTTATAAAGCTGTACTAATAAAGAGAGATATTCTTTGTATAACATGTCATATCATAGATAAGATGATAAAGGTAAAGTTGCCATAGTCCTACTGGAGCACAGGACTGATCTCCCATGAGATAGACCATAAGATCACAAAGATAAAGGAGCAGAATTAAACCATTTGGTTCATCAAATCTGCTCTGCCATTCAATCATGGCTGATATGCTTCTCAACACCATTCTCCTGCCTTCACTTCATAGCCTTTGATCCCCTTAACAATCAAGAACCTGTCCAAGTCTTAAAGACACTTGATGACTTGACCTCCACGGCCTTCCGTGGCAATGAGTTCCACAGTTTCACCACCCTCTGAAGAAATTCCTCCTCATCTCATTTCTAACAGGTCATTCCTTCACTCTGAGGCTGTGCCCTTGGGTCCAAGTTTCTCCGATGAGTGGAAACATCTTCTCCACATCCGCTCTGTCCAGGCCTCTCAGATTTTGTAAGTTTCAATCAGATTGTCCCTCACCATCCATTGAGTACAGACTCAGATTCCTCAACCGTTCCTCATATGACAAGTCCTTCATCCCTGGGATCATTCTTGTAAACCTTCTCTGGGCTCCCTCCAAGGCCAGCATATCCTTCCCTAGATGTAGGGCTCAAAATTGCCCACAATATTCCAAATGTGGTCTGACCAGAGCCTTATACCATCTCAGTAGTACATCCTACTGTTGTTTTTAGCCCTCTTGAAATGAATGCTAAAATTGAATTTGCCTTTCTAACTGCCAACTGAAATACAAGTTAACCTTCAGAGAATCCTGCTCTGGCAACAGCAACAACAACTCCCATGCCGCAGGGCAATCCGACTCTGCTGTCACCACTGCTTTGCTGACATTGTCAAGAGTCCAGGCTCCGGGCCTACCACCGCCGGGACTCCAGGCTCCGGGTGTAATGCCGCTGGGAGTCCAGGCTCCAGACACTGCCACCACCACCAGAAGACCCAGTCCACACCACCAATGCTACCGCCATCACCCCACTGACACTGCAGCCACTGCCCTGTTAACACTGCTCCAGCCTCAAATATGAAGAAGAAAGATAGAAGAAAAGAGAAAAGACGAAAAGTACATGAAGAAAATGACACCGTCGGCCAGAAATGGATGGGTTCAGACAAGCCTAAACACTACCTACCGTGCCAGCGCCATTTTGGATAGTGTTTAACTGTGTAAAAATCAAAGGCTTCAACACATGGAGAATATTCCCTTAACCACTCTATCCGATAAGTAACTGAGACAGAAAATCTAAAAGCCAGGTCAATGATTTGTTGGTTGATCTCTGTTGCAATAGTTAGATGAACACAACAACATGTCTTACATTAGGGAAGAGAAATCAGCTAGAATTCTTGTTTCTGAAGCAGCATAGTAGAATGTCTTACTAAAAATACCCATGTGAGAATGAGATGAGGAAAAGACTGGGCTCAAATACAATCCCAATGTATTTGAATACTTGATGGAACTTATTAATGTTTGTCATTAGTGATTGATGGCCACGCCAGCAAGGTATCAGACTAGATTCAACGAAACTGTACTCCTATCAAATGATGGGAATTCTTTTCAAAAGAGTACAAAGTGCAAAAAGAGGAGTACATCTGGACTTACTTCAATTTAACAATCCTGTTCTTTCCAACAATGATGTGGTACGTACAGTTCATGCTGTGATTTTCAATGCATGAGTAAGTTGGGCTGCTGATAATGCCAGCTGATCCCTGGAATGAACCTCCACAGGCTTGAAACAAAGAACCAGAAATACAATGAGCAAAGCTAAATCAGTCTTATAGATGATTACTTATGCTGAAAATGCAATTAAAATGTACCTGCATCAATCTCATTATCATCAGGGTAACTACATAGGGAGGCCAGACTGAATGGAATACTGACCAAGAATGAATACACATCACTGCTCTTAATACTGAAGATAGTCCTGTGTTTATCAATAATATTATGTATAAACAGAACTTTAGAAGTTAATTGTTAAATGTAGGGTGTTTATTTTTACATTAATGCTTCTTGAGTCTGAAGAGATCTCAAATAATTTGATTATTTTCATGAAGTATTAGGAGGAGGAAGTGCAAAATACCTAATCATTGGTAGAAATATGGTAGAATAGAACTTCCACATGCCTGACATCCAACAGTTGATTTTTTTATAGAGAAATTTGGCATGGCACACAACTCCACAGTCTCCAATTGATAGGTATTAATGTGATAAGTATTATCAAACAAAATAATTCCAGAAAAAAATCAGGTTATTTGCATTTACCTTTTAATTGTTGAATGATATATGTGATGTGCCAAAATGAGAATAAAAAAATCTTAAATTGCCATGTTATGTGCCTTTGTTTGTTTTTCCATGAAGATTACCATTGAATATTTCAGAGCATCTTTCTCAAAATACAACTGTACTTCATAGAATGTAATTTGTTGATCAAATATGGTGAACAATTGAGGTGATCTCAACCTTAACAGTATGTGTGCAAGCAAAGTGCTTTCATTTGGAAGAGAGCCAGGAAAATTAGAATCATCCCTTGGTAATACTTGTATACCAGGCAAATGGCTGTTGCCAGAGCAAGAAAGATGATAGCACTGGAGTATCCAACACTTCAAACAACTGGTTCCTCCATGACCAGCTGTTGCAAATATTACCTACACAATGCAGCAACTCAGCATGTCTTCTTTAACGTCATCACCCAGTTCACAACTTCAACCACCCGAAAGGACAATGGTCCTTTTTTCTTTTAGTGCATGCAAACACCACCAAGTCCAAGTTCTCTTGGTTGCAATTGTTCCATAATATGCGCAGATTTAAAAATATAAAATAAAACATTTTTTGCAAAGATAATGCAGTTCCCAATTATAACGGCAACAAAACAACAGTATTACACAATTACAATTACAAGTTCTGTAGTTAACTACTCACAGATTAAATTGTAGTTGACCACAAATCCAGTTTCTGTGTTAACGTGATTTGTTTTGAAAACCAGTAGCACTGGGCCATAGCTACTGATTGGTCTTGGGGTAAGAAAACCACAAAGGGTAGCTATAGGTTGCCCACTTGCTGTAGTTCCACTATATATCTTCAAACTGTCATCATCACAGTATAAAAACCCTGTAAATATTTATGAAATTAAAATGAAGCATTAACTGAAGGTTACTTTGGATATCTTTCAAACCTTTTGCTTGCAATTTGTATGAAATATGTCCATAACTTAAAATACAAGAATATAACTGATCAAAAAGATTGATGCCATACATGATAAAACATGAGACATTCATGATTGATAGCGTGATCAAAATTTTAAATACCCGCTTCTTTGAAAGCCCTTAAAGTATATACTATCCACAACATCTACTGTAGCAATTTAACATGGCTGGTGTGGCAAAACCTCTCCATCTCACAACCTCAAATTAGAAGGTCAAGGGCAGCAGGTACATGGGAATACCAGCTGCCAAATTCCCCTCCAACTTTTGACTTCATACCACTGTTCCTTCATTAACACTGAATCAAAACCTGAAACTCCTTATCCGACAGAATTGTGTTAATATCTACATCCCATGAAGGCAACCGATCAAGACATCACACCACAACTTTCTAAAGGATAATTAGTTGGGTATGCTAGTGGCACCTGCCTTAAGTTAAAAAGGAAAATGAATCCATTGAAACAGAGCTTAATAATAACAATGATATAGGCAGAATACTCAATAGCCATGTTATTTTTGGCTATCTTTAAGACATTTAAACCTAACAACCTACTACTAACAGAAATATTTTCCCTGATACTTGATGGGTGGCACTGTGCTGCCTAACAGGACCAGTCCTTTTCAGATGGCTGAATAGGAAAAAAAACAAATTAGGGCATCACACGCAGTGCATTTGAGTTGTACCTTATCTAAACCCTTCAATATTCAGTCACAACTACCAATGCACAGTGGCAGCATTGTACGCCATCCACAAGATGCATGGTAATAATTCACCAGAGTTCACCAGTAACTTCCCAACTCCCCACTACTGCTACCTAGAAGGTCAAGGGCATCAGATACATGGGAATATCACCATCTGCAATATACCCACCAAGTCATACACCATCCTGACTTAGGAACATGGTAACAGGATGTACCATTTGTTATGATCATGACAGATTGAACACTTCAATGCCTTTTATCCACACTATCCCCAGAACCTTTTATACCATTGGAAATTGGAAATCTATCAACCTCTACTTTAAATATATCTAAAGGCTGAGAGAAAATTTCAAATAAAAGAACTTCACCTCATTTTGATCCTAAATGGCAACCCTTTTATTTTAAACTGTACCTGCTGGTTCTAGACTCCCTAGCGAGGAGAAACATCTAACTGGCCATTCCTTTAAAGAAGTTTCAAGGTCACATTTCAATCTTTGAAAGAATATAGGCTCAGTTTGTTCAATCTGGGGAGGTGATGGTATATTGGTAATGTCACTGGATTAGTGATTCAGAAACGGAGGCTAATGTTGTGGGTACGTAAATTTGACTCCTACCATGGCTGATGGTGAAATTTAGACTGTAAGACATCGGAACAGAAGTAAGTAATTGAGTCTGCTCTGCCATTCAATGAGATCATGGCTGACCTGATAATCCTCAACTCTGCCTTCCTGCCTTAAACCCATCACCCTTGATTCCCTTAATGATTAGGAATCTGTCTATCTCAGCTTTGAATATACTGAATGACCCAAACTCAACAGCCCACTGCATAAAGAATTGCACCTGTTCACCAATCTCTGGCAGAAAAAAGTCTCTTCGTTTCTCAAAATCCTCTTCATGTCTTAAATAATTGACTGCTTACTAAGAAACTATGCCCTAGGGTCCTGGACTCTTCCACAAGGCAAAGCAATCTCTCTGCAGCTCTGTTACAAGCATCTTAAGAATCTTCTGTGTTTCAATAACTCTGCTCATCCTTTTAAATTCCAGTGAGTATGAGCCTAATGAGCTCAAACTCTCATCATAAGAAAATTCCTCCAAACCTGAGATCAGACTGGTCAACCTTCTCTGGACCACCTCCTATGTCAATGTATCCTTAGATAAGGGGACCAAAACTGTTCACAGTATTCCAGGTGTGGTCTGACTAGTGCTTTATATAGTTTTAGCAAGACTTCCTATTCCTTTGAAATAACAACTAACGGTCTAATTGTCTTCCCCATTTCCTGATGCAATTATGTGCTAGCATTTTGATTCATGCATGAGAACCCACAAATCCGATTGTGCTGCAGCTTTCTGCAGTCTTTCTCTATTTAAATAATATTCAACTCATCTATTCTTCTTGCCAGAGTACACAACTTCACATCTTACCACATTATATTCCATCTCCCAAGATTTTGCCCATTCATTTAACCTGTCTGCATTGCTCTGTAGACTCATTGTGTCATCTTCACAATTTGCCTTCCCACCTATTATGGGTCATCTGCAAATTTGGGCATGGTACATTCACTTCATTTATCCAAGTCATTAACAAAAATCATAAATTATTGTGGCCCCAGCACTCATCTCTGTGGATCTCCATTAGGTACAAGTTGCCATCTTGGTTATAGCTCCATTATCCCAACTCTCTGTCTTTTATATTCAGCTAATCCTCCATCCATGCTAATACATCACCACCAACACTATGGGCTATCATTCTATTAAATAACCTTATGTAAGATACAATATAAAGTGCTTTTCAGACATCCAAATACATTACATTTACTGTTTCCCCTTTATCTATACTGCTTGTTACCTCCTGAAAGAACTGTGTAATATTTGTCAGACATGATTTTCCCTTCATGAAGCCATGCTGACTCTGTTTGTTTACATTATGTATTTCCAAATGTTTTGCTATTACATGCTTTATAACAGACTCCAACATTTTCCCAACTGTAGATGTTAAGCTAATTGGCTCTTAGTTACCTGTTTTGAGTGGCCCTACTTCTTTGACATTTTACATTAACAGTTTTTCAATTCTCTGGGATGTTTCCAGAATCTAAGGATTCTTGGATGTTTATGATCAGTGAATCCACTTCTCTGAAGCTATTTCAATTGAATTCAATATAAATCTGGAAACAGAAGCTATCCTAAAAAGCACTGCTAATTGTTATTAAAAAAATCTGGTTCACTAATGTCCTTTGGGTAAGGAACTTTGCCATCTTTCCCTGGTCTGCTCTATATGTAACTGTAGACCCATAGCAATGGGATAGACACTTAACTGCCCTCTAGGCAATTAGTTTGGGCAATAAATATTGGCCTAGTCAAAAATACCATTATCACTCTCCTCATTGGACAGTTGTGCTATCCTGGAAACAAGTCTGGTGAACCTTTGTTGCACTCACGCTATGGCAATAATATCTTTCCTGAGATAAAGAGACTAAAACCTGCACCTGGTGTGGTCTACCTAAGCACCATGCAATTTAAGCAAGACTTCACTACTCCTGCACTCAAATCCTTTTGTTATAAAGGCTAAACCTTTAGGTTTTCTAATAGTTTGCTGCAGCTGCATGTCAGCCTTCCGTGACATATTGACAAGGAAACTGAAGTCTTTTTGCACATCTACACTTTCAAACCTCTCCCCACTTAAGAAATACTCCGCATACCTGTTCTTCTTACCAAACTGCATGACCTCACATTCTTTCCACATTATATTCCATTTACCATATTTATGCCCAATCACTAAGCCTGTTCAAATTCTGCAAACATTTTACATCTTTCTCACAATACAGTTCTGCTGGTACAAATCATTGATATAGATTATGAACAGTTGGGGCCCAAGTACTGATCCTTGCAGTCCCCCACTATTCACAGATTTCCAATGCAAGAGTGACCCATTCACTCTTGCTCTGTTTTCTCTCTGTTAACCAATCATTAATCCATGCCAGTACATTGCTTCCTGTCCCATGTGCTGCAATTTTCTTAGCCAACCTGCTGCAGGGGATTTTATCAAAAGCCTTCTGTACTCATCCATTGATTCCCCCTTTAACAATTTTGTCAGCAATATCCTTCAAAAACTCCAAGTTTGCAAAATACTCCTTTCCATTTCTAACTCCACTCTAGCATTACCTGGCTGGATAATTTTTATCCAAATGTCCATCCATCCTTTATGTTTGATTCAAACATTTTCCCTACGACTGATGTAAGCCTGATGCGATTATCCTTCCTGAACTTTTCCTTGCTGTTAAATATCAGAGTGATATGTTCGAAGTTCTGTTCTGCAGGAATCATTTTAGAACCTATGGAATTTTGGAAGATGTCTTCCAAAGTAACATCTCTCTATATGGACACTAACTTCAACACCATAGGATATAGACAGGTCAGGTCCCAGGGACTTACTAACTTTCAATTCCATTGATTTCACCAGTATAACCTTTCGTACTCATGCTACTTTTCTTCAGCTCTTCATTCTCCCTAGTCATAAAGTTCTGTAACTTTAAAAAAAGCCCTTCAGCCCATCAAGTCTGTGCCAATCAAAAGCACCTAGCTATTCTCATTCCATTTTCCAGCATTCGATCCATAGCCTTGTATGCCATGACAGCAGAACTGTACATCTAAATCACTTCTTACATGTTATGAGGATTTCAATCTCCTTCAGGCATCAAGTTCTGGATCCCACCACCCTCGACGTGAAAAGTTAACTCCATTTTTCTTTATGCAGATGCTGCCAGGCCTGCTGTGCTTCTCCCATATTTTGCTTTTAGCTCAGATCTCTAGCATGTACAGTATTTTGCTTTTATTTGAGGGTCAATGAGGCCTTTTTTATCATAATTCTCGGAAGGTTTGACAAGCTAGATGCTGAGAGGCTGGTTACCCCGGATGGAGTGTCTAGAACTAAAGGTTGTAGTTTCACCCAGGAGATTATGAATCTTTGACAGTTACCTCAGAGGGCTCAGAGGGAATGCAATTGGAGATGATGGGGGTGTTGAGGAGGTGGGAGGGCAAATCCCACAAATGTTGCCAGAAATGATGAGTTTCTCCAGCAATTTATGTTTTTGTTTCAGATCTCTAACATCTGCAGTCCATGTGTTTGAAAAGATGGCTAGAAGCCTGCACTGTGGCTACAGCAACTGTGTTAGCACAGGGTCAGAGGGGCCATATGGTCTTATAAATGTG